CCCGAAGTCTAGCCGGTGTGGCGCCTGCAGGGGGAAGCGGGGAGTGCTGCCGAGTCAGCTCCCGCCGGGGGCTTCCCTCTCGGGCGACCGGGTAAGTGGCCCCCTTCATTGCGAGGCGGGTTCCTCCCTGGGGAGGTGAGCCGGGCTGGCAGAGGGGCGGCCCAAGGGGGGGGCGCGCTCTCTCTCTCTGTGTGTGTGTGTGTGTTCGTGTTCGTGTTCGTTCGTTCGTTCGTCCGTCGGCGGTGGTGCAGCCAGAGGGTTTCTTGTCCCGGAGTGGAGTCGCCTTGAGATGACAGCTCACTCTGCAGGAGGGCTTTTGCCTTCTTGCACAGCGAAGGTAGTCATCTCGGTGGATGATGAACCCTCTGAGGGATTCAAAGGGGTCCTGTTTGGTTGACGGACCTTCATATATTTTGTGCGTGTTTGTCTCTCCCTCCAGGCCCCCCCTTTTTTTCATTGCACCTAAATGCCATGGATGTGGGAGAGATTTTCACCCCTGTCGATACCTAGACCTGCTAGAACAGAGATGAATAGGCTTGCACGGTGTAGCTTGGTTCTAATAAAGCCTCAGGTTGCACAAGTTGGAGTCTGACACAAGGGATGTACATTTGAAGCCTACATTTTCAGGTGGGGGCTACGGAAGCTTGTGCAGCAAAAACACGGAAGGTGTCTTGCAATATCTTAAAGACTACAGTACTAAGTTTTATTTGGTGTAAGCTTTTCTGAACTACGACTCACATCTTTAGAAGAAAGAAGTTTTGAGTACCAAAACTTTATGGTTCTTACTGTCCTTCTGTAGAAAAGTCTACCCATTTCACCAGATCTTCTGTTGTTAGGTTGTTGTTAGGCATCCTTCAGTCTCGTGCTCTGTATGGAGGACTAGGAACAGTGTCTAGTTTGGCTGAGAAGACCAATTCGAGAGTGACAATCCCTTTCCGTGTTGTTTCGACGCTTTATGCTCCTCAGATGTACAATATAGTCAAAGTCTGCTGCAGGAGGAACTTGTACATCCATATAGATAAATACTTGCTTAGCCACCTTCTGGTCGGTGTTATCAGTGCAGTTAGTGGTGCTAGTTATATATTTGATTCTTACATTGAAGCAATATAACCTTTATTTTTGGGGTATCCAGTTTTGTTTCCTTGTGTATTCTTGCCCCTTCTTTGGTGTGAACCAAGCTGATATGAGGTATTTGATACAAGATATTTGCTGTGAGTTCGGATCTGAATTTGAAACTAGCATGCTTTTGTGACTTCCTCTTTGCCTCGGCCTGCTGGACATGGGTCTCTTCAAATTGGAAGAGGCCGTGATGCATTGCCTGCCTCCAGGCTGAACAGTCAGATGTCAGGGTTTCCCATCTGTTGAGGTCTATTCCTAAGGCCTTCAGATCCTGCTTGCAGATATCCTTGTATCGCAGCTGTGGTCTCCCTCTGGGGCGATTTCCTTGCACTAATTCTCCATACAGGAGATCCTTTGGAATCCGACCATCAGCCATTCTCATGACGTGCCCAAGCCAACGGAGACGTTGCTGTTTCAGTAATGTATACATGCTGAATATTCCAGAATTCAAATAAACTGAAATGAAATAATGAGTTTTTAACATGTTTTCTTCACAACTTTACTTCAAATCTGGTTAGTACATTTCTAACAAACATCACATACATTCAAATTAGTTAGTGAACAACACTGCAGGAGGTCTCAGTTTTATTATTACATTTGTGTCAGTCCATTTTTTGTCATTTTTGTGGAGTTTTGGGGAAATTGCTGGATATTTCAGAGGCAGAGCCAATTTAGAAGTCTAATTTACTTGAAATTTGAATCTTAATTTTAGATGACTAAATATTCCTGGGTTGTTTGTTTCTGATTGCAGAGAAAATCCATTGATGCTAAGTGGGCTATGTCTATAATCCTACATAAATGGTTTTAAAAAATTAAACAGGAAGCTGTTAAAAATGCCTTGTTACATTTGTGTTTGATTTTAATGGGTTTATCAGCAAATATACATTTTAAAAAACGAGTGAGTAACACCATGGAATAACTGAGTCTGAAAGGGGAATAGGTTTCTTAGCTCGTGGGTTTGTCATAGCTGTCTATCTCAGTGATGCATCAGGATGTTCCGTTGAGTGTGTATGTGTGAGCCCTTAAAAAAAAGTAGCTTCTTAAGCTACGTCAACCAGCAGAAGAAAGACAATTTATTTATTTATTTATTTATTGGACTTATATACCGCCCCATAGCGCTACAAGCACTCTCCGGGCGGTTTACAATTTTTAATTATACAGGCTACACATTGCCCCCCCAGCAAGCTGGGTACTCGTTTTACCGACCTCGGAAGGATGGAAGGCTGAGTCAACCTTGAGCCGGCTACCTGGGATTTGAACCCCAGGTCGTGAGCACAATGAGGTGTTTCCTTTCTTTTTTCCTTGCTCTACATAAATTTATTTTAAAGCCAAGGATTGAGAGTCCCTGTTTTGCTTCTAACAAAAGTGTCAGGAGCCACTCTCCAGTAAACAGCAGCCAAACTGGTCTAGAGGAGAAATACTCATTACATTTGTCCTTCCTATCTGCTGCTTTTAAATGATTCAGAATAAGAATAATAATCTTCCTTTTAAAAAATGAATGAGTAACTCCATGAATGGAAATGGGAAATTCCTATTGTGTATTATTACTGCTTACCAGAGTGGTCTTAACCGACCAGTAGGCGGGACATTAAATAAATAAATAAATAAATAAATAAATAAATAAATAAATAAATAAATAAATACCAGCCCCCTGATATTGGAATTAGACACAGATTGAACTGTATCTGTCCTCTGAAGATGCCAGCCACAGAGACTGGCAAAACGTTAGGAAGAAAAACCTCAAGAACACAGCCAGACAGCCCTAAAAACCTACAACAACTATCGGAATCGGATCCCGGCGGTGAAAGCCTTTGAGAATACATTGTATACAGTTTGTTTGCTTGTTTGTTTAACCCCACCTTTCTCCTTCAAAAGGATGCAAGGTGGATGGATGGCTTCATTAAAAGACAATATTTAAAAGCTAAAAATAGTAAGCATACAAATATTTTAAAAAGAAAAATGCCGCACTCCAAATTCTCCTAGTTTGGCTGGGAGAAGCAGAATCCCTTGTACCTTTGCTCCCACAGCAGCCCCTCCAACTCCTCCAAAATACGACACAGAGCATTGTGAATGGGCTGGGCTATGGTACAGGAGAAGACTGGAATATGTAATAATCCGGTAGGAGCAGCTTTGGGAAATGTGAATAGAGTGTCATCAGACTAAAGAAAGCCGTCATAGGTCCCACCTATTGTGTTCTTAGTTTTCTTTGCCAGATCTGCATTACCGAAACAATCTACCACATTTTTATGTGTATGAAACAAGACTTTTCCCTAAAATAATTATAGGAAAAATTGAGGGTTGTTTTATACATGGAAGTAAGGAGGGGGAGGAATCAAAGTGTTTTGATCCCTGTTTTCCCCAACCACGTTTTGCAAAGAAAATGCAGGAGGAAAGCGATTTCTGCTTCCCCCCTACATTTTTGTGGCAAAAAGCAGCTTTTCCTCCAGGTTTTGCAAAGAAAATGCAGGGGGAAAGCGATTCCTACTTTCCCCCTACATTTTCATTGTAAAATGTTTCCAACGAAAATATAGAGGGAAAGCAGAAATCATTCCGCCCCTGCATTTTCTTTGCAAAACATGGAAGGGGAAAGCTGCTTTTTGCAGTGAAAATTTCAAATACTGTTTTTTTCTGTGTATAAGATGCCCCTTGTATAAAATGCCCCCTCCACTTTCTTGCAAAGAAAGAAATTTTGATCTAGAAAATTTGGGGTGTTTTATACATGGGCCGTCTTATACACGGAAAAAGATGGTATTTGAAATGTTTGAGAACACGTATACCAATTGTCATTCTTGCTTCTAGAATCCCTGCCTGCTTCCTGTTCTCTTGTTTGTAAGATCAAGTTGTTGACCAGAATCCAATTTGTGATTTACACATCATGTAAGAATTACACATTGTGTGAGATTTGCCAGTGAAGTCGTGTAAATCAGTGGCAAATGCCACTAATTAACAAAATTATCATTGCTTTCCTGGGCAAGTACCCAGTTGAGCAATGGTATGTGACCAAGAACACAACCAGTACTTTGTTAATTAGCAGCAATTTGCCACTCTTTCTTAACAAGTTTTTTTAAATCTCAGCATAAATTGCTTATTAAATTCTGGTCAGCAGTGCCTTGGTAGAAACAGGATGCAAGATGGTGTGTTTTATTGAGGTGAGTGTTCTGCCTATATGTGTTTCTCTTAAAAGCTTGCTGTGTGTAAGATAACTTTTCATTGTACTTTGGTAGAAAGTGTAATTTGGTTTTTGAGGCCCAGACCGACTTCTCTCTTGGCACCCAGTTTTTTAAGTATATTGCATGTCTCCAAGCCTCCTGAGTTTGCCTCCTCTAAAATGATTGCTAGAGCAGAAGATTATGAATTTAAGATAAGAGCTTAATATTTTGGAGCCCAGCCCTGCCTGTTCTGTTCTTGTTATTTGGCAGATTACTTTCAATTCTTGCCTTCTCAGTTTGACTCCTGGAGGCTTTGTGAATAGTCACACCACTGCAACAGATTTTATGAGAGTGTCCATAAGACTCATGGAAGATTTAAAATGTACTTTTTGGCTCAAAGGACTGAAGACCTGAAAGCATCACCATTTTCTCCTTTTAAAAGCATAATTCTGCAAGACATTAATTGTGTAGATAAAACTGAACGGTTTTCCACCACAGACATTGATTGAAATCTCTTATTACATAAGAAGAAGGAAGGTTACTAAGAAACCTAATGTTATCTGTGACATCATCTTTGGAATTAGTTCTTATACATGTACCATATTTTTTGTGTATAAGATGCCTCCATGTATAAGATACCCCCCACTTTTCTAACCCAAAATTAAGAGATTGAAGTGGGTCTTAGCAAGTGTAGGGGGAAAGGGATCAGAGCACTGCAGGATCGCTTTGATCCCTGCTTTCTCCCTTTGTGCTTAGCCCCGTGGGGCTTAGCAAAAGGAGGGGGAAAGGGATCAAACACTCCTGCAACTGCATGATTGTTTTGATCCCTTTCCCCCTTATACAGCCACGGGGTTGCTTTGATTCTTTCCCCCCTCCTTTTGTTAAGCCCCATGGAACTTAGAAAGCAGAGGGGAAAGCAGGGATCTAAGAGATCCTGCAGCGCTTTTATCCCTGCTTTCCTTTTGCTAAGGATTAGCAAGTGGAGGGGAAAGCAGGGATCAAAGTCCTGCAGGAACAATTTGATCCCTGGTTTCCCCCAACTTGTTTTTGTACTCTCCTCAGCTTACTTCCGTGTATAAGACAACCCAAAGACAAAAGTATAGTCTTATGCACAGAAAAATATGGTATATAATTACAGAAAACATATTTTGTTCCACACACCTTTCTATTAATATGTTCTGCAAAATGTGTTGGTCTTTAATGTGCCTCCAAACTCTTTGTTGTTGTTTTTGCTGCAACGTAGTGCTTCTAGAATTGCTCAGAGGGTCTTCCTGCCCCGTTCTTTCCCCTTTCTATTTTTTGCATCTGAAGAACATTTTGTTTATGACATTTTGTACTTTCATCTGGTGCTGGTCATTTAAGTACAAATTGTTTTTGTTTCTGATGTAGAAAATTTACAGGAATATAAATAACTCTTCCACCCCCCCCCCCCAAGATTCAAGTAAGAAATGGTCACTCTTAAGTTGGGATATATTTATGCATGTTGTGCTCTTCATATCTAGTGCAGCACATTTTGTCCTGGGTTATTTTGACGAAACACTTGAGTAGAGAGCAGCCTTCAAAATCTTATATAAAGGGAGGTGAATGCTGCTAAAACATCCCTCAGCTAAGATTGCTCATTCATAGAGTTGCCATAAATCGGAAGTGACTTGATGACACATAACTACAGCAAAAGTCAAGTGGTCTTCTACCTTTGCTCATCTGACTATGAAATACTGATTGACAACCTGGTGTTCAGTAGCTGTGGCTCAGAAATCCGGTGAATGCTCTTTTTACATGCATAGGAGGTGCCAGTTTCTTCCACCCAAGTGTGTTGTTTTGTACCACAGTGCGTGTGATTCTCAAGAGGCCGATAGGCGCAGGACATGTTTTGCCAGACCAATGGGGGTCAGCAAAACTCAAGTGCATGTAGGAGTGTGGCTTTTTTGGATCCTAAGTGTTGTTTTCAGATGATGTAATTTATAATTCTTAGCCATTTATGATATATTATCTTTGTTTTAATCTAACATGAACAGTTTATATGAATATGAAATAACTGTAGAATTGAGGATTAAGATTTAGTAGCTAAGTGACTCGTCTTTGTGAAGGGAGAGGTCCCTGATTCAAACCTTGAGTCTGCTGTGGACACCAAAGATGAACTCTTAAGTGCAGCGTGCTAACAATAATATTATAGTGGTGCCTCGCAAGACAAATGCCTCGCAGGACAAAAAACTTGCAAGACAGAATGGTTTTGGCAATGGTGTTGATGACTCGCAAGGTGAATGTTCCTATGGAATTTTTTCCGGTTTTTGTTCCTGCCTCATGTTTGATGATTTTTAAATGTTTTTCTATGATGTTTAAAAAGTTTTTTGATTGAAATTTTTGAAATCATCTGCACAATATGTATGGCTTTAAAGAGCACTTAATAAACCCGTTGTAAACCAAATTTGACTTTGTTCTAACTTTTTTTGCCCATAGGAACACATTAATTAGATTTCAATGCATTCCTATGGGAAAACGCATTTCGCAAGACAATTTTTTCACAAGACAACATTAACCGCAGAACGAATTAAATTCGTTTTGCGAGGCACCACTGTACTCTGCTTTACAGGAATGTTGTGAGGGTTTTTGAGAGAACATATACAAATTACTTGGAACAATCTTGGGATCGTATAAATATACTACTGAAAATTGAGTTTCCCTGTTTTTATGGAAAGATGGTCATTACAAGTGTTTTGCAGACCAAGATTGTAATTTGCTTTGTACCTTTCATATTTTATGGATGTTGCCATTGTTGTTGTCATTTAGTGTTGTAAACTGCCTATAGTGGTCTTGGCTGTCAGATGGGCAGTATAAACATTGAATGAATGAATGAATGAATGAATGAATGAATGAATGAATGAATGAATGAATGAAATGTAGCATACTACCGTGTTTCCCTGAAAATAATACCTAACCTGAAAATAAGTCCTAGTATGATTTTTCAGGATGCTCATAATATAAGCCCTACCCCAAGAATAAGCCCCAGTTTAGTGACACTCCGCCCTCCATCACTGTGCAGCATTGTGGAGCAAGCAGAAGATGACATGACTGTATTTAAATAAATATAGAAACAACACAAAACATCCCTTGAAAATGCAGTAAGTCCTAATGCATTTTTGGAGCAAAAATTTATATAAGACCCTGTATTATTTTTGGGGAAACATGGTAGCTGGAGTGTTAGGCTTGGGTTCAAGGGACTTGTGATGAAATCCTCACTCAGCCTTCAAAGTTACTGGGTGGACTTGGGTCATGTACAGATTTCCACCTTGATTTGATTTGTAGGACTATTGTGAGGATATGGTAGAGTGAAAGAAATCCATGTTTGCTAGCTAGAGCTCATGGGATAAAAGATAAAACATAAATGTAATAAAGAAATAAGTAAGTAACATTGCCCAACCAAGACAGGAGGCTGACTTTTATATAGCATCCATCATATTGTTGGTACAAGATACTAAATCGTAGTAATATAGAAGAGGTAGAATAGAACAACAACAGTTTGGAAATATATTCTCATACATCCACACTGGTATATGTCAAACAGTACCTGTACCAAAGAGTGATATACAGTGGTGCCTCGCTTAACGAGCGCACCGTTTAACGAAGAATCCGTATAGCGATCCCTTTTTGGGGATCGCTATACGGATCTGCCCCAATCGCCGCACTCGCTTTGCGACGATTGGGGCGTCCGGCGGCCATTTTGGAGCTGCCGAACAGCTGATCGGCGGCTCCAAAATGGCTGCCGGATGCAAAAACATCGCTGGAGGGGTAAGTTTGGACGCTTATTGGAACGCATTAAACTAAGTTTAATGCGTTCCAATAGGCTTTCCTTACCCGCACAGCGATGTTTTCGTATAGCGAAGGTTAATCCGGAACGGATTAACCTCGCTATACGGGGCACCACTGTACTTTGTTTGATCCATTGGAAAATAAGGATTTCTGTGTAAGTTACATACTAGTGTCTTGGGAATGCAGTCTACTGGATCTAGACAGGCAAGACTTTCAGAAATGTTGAAGTAATTTGGGAATACATATTTTGGTTGAAAAACAACAGTTTGGGAATTTAAAATCTATATATGATGCATAGTTTTTTTAATTTATTAAATTTAAATGTATTTTATTGCTCTGACAACAGTAAATTATTATTTCAGTAATAGGATTTTTCCTCTCTGTATGTTTTGTTATCCAGAAGCTGGTGGGAAAGTTGGCTCATTTCATTATGTGTGCGTCAGTCAAATATAACACCCGGGGTCCAGCCCTAATTCCAAGGATGAAGACCAAACACCGTATCTACTATATTGCACTCTTTTCTGTTGTACTTCTGGGACTCATTGCCACAGGCATGTTTCAGTTCTGGCCACATTCCATAGAATCCTCAAATGACTGGACAGTTGAAAAGCGCAGTATTCATGATGTACCTGTTGTGAAGATTCCTGCAGAGAGTGCCATCCCAGAACGTGGAGACCTCAGCTGCAGGATGCACACATGTTTTGATGTTTACCGCTGTGGCTTCAACCCCAAGAATAAGATCAAAGTCTATATTTACTCTCTAAAGAAATATGTGGATGAATATGGCATGCCTGTCAGTCATACCATTTCCAGGGAATACAATGAACTGCTGACTGCTATATCCGACAGTGACTTTTATACAGATGATGTCAACCGTGCCTGTCTCTTTGTACCATCTATTGATGTGCTGAACCAAAACACTCTCCGCATCAAGGAAACGGCTCAGGCTTTGGCTCAGCTGTCCCGGTACCTTCAGAAGCTTCACTTTGAATGCTAAACCTAGAATAGGAAATCCAGGGTTGAGGAATAAGGGAAAAACCAGATAGTATGAGAATAAATGTTCACTGTTGCTTTTAGTGTAGTGGAGCAGTAGGTTTCAGACAAATATTGTCCACCCTCTAGTTGCAACAGCTTAATAATGATTAAGTTGAAATAATTGCCATGCAGGTGAGAAAGCTTAGTTAATTATTATTGTTATTTTCAAGATGGAAGTAACCATGGTGGCCAAAAGATTTTAAAAAATCAGTACAGTAAAAGGGTAATGATGATGCTTGTGGCCACCTTTTGACTGTTTAGTTTCTCTATTTTTGCTCAAAATGTTTTCCTTTATAGCGAATTTGGATAGGTGCCTACTCTGAAGCTGTGGTTCCTAGTCGTTCATTGTTTTGAGATACTTCTTCTATATTTTTGTCTTAGCTGGGATCGAGGAACAAATCACCTCTTGTTCAACATGTTACCTGGAGGACCACCTGACTACAATACAGCACTGGATGTTCCAAGAGACAGGTAGGTAGTTTGCTGCTTCTGCTTTCAGACTTCCTAAAATATACCCGTAAACAAATCAGATTTAGAGCTGTATCAATGTAAATGTAAATGGCAGAATGTAAATCATCCAATACATGAGAACACTTACTCTATTTGTGACATTTAATGACTTTTAAGAGAAGGCAGATATGGATTATGTTAAATGAAAAGGCCAAAATCCTGTTACGCAGCTACACAAAAAGTGACATGTCTGAAGAAGTGGAATTTGATCTGTGAAAGCTCATACTGAAATAAATTTGTTAGTCTTTCTAGTGCCATAGTATTTTGCCTGTCTCCCCACTTTTTTTAATCTTTATTTTTTTTGCCAACAGGCTGAGACATGTACATGGTTTGTGGCTTTTTAATTCAGTACCTGATTATGATTATGTAGAAAAACAGAAGATACAGCTCTTTTTCGTTAAAATCTGTAGACATTTTGTCAGTAATCTCACTGGATCCTATACTGTACTAAGATTCTAATACGTATGCCCAAAGATTCTGTTGAATTCTGTACTTCTCTGTAAAATTGAAACAGTCAAGGAATACATTTGTTTCACCCAGATTTTTGGGGAAAGAAGATTGCATTTGTTTCAGTTTGGATAATGGATTTAGTTGTAAAATGAAAATGTAAAAGTAGTAGAACTTGTGTCTTCTTTAGTCTTTGGTTGTAAATACAATGGTGCCTCGCTAGACTGTTACCCCGCATGATAGTTTTTTCGCTAGACATTGGCTTTTTGCTATCGCTATAGTGATTCGCAAAACAGTGATTCCTATGGGGGAATTTCACTGGACAATGTTTGGTCCCTGCTTTGCAAACCAATTTCCGCTAAATGACAATTTTGACAGCTCCCTCTGTGCTCGCAAACAGGTGTTTTCGGGATCTAAGCTTCTCAAGACAGCCATTTAAACAGCTGATTAGCGGTTCACAAAGCAGCTTTCCTATGGCCGATCTTCGCTAGACAACGACAATTCTTCCCCATTGGAACGCATTAAACAGATTTCCATGCATTCCAATGGGGAAATGCTTTTTGCTAGACAATGATTTTGCTAAACAGTGATATCAGTGGAACGGATTATCATCGTCTAGGAAGGCACCACTGTATAAACTCTATAATATTTTTTCTATCATGGAAACTCCCTGAGTCTGTGTACATCTGGGATGTGGCTGGCCCATAGAGGGCAGTCAAACATTATTTTGCTATCTTAATATTTTAAATTTTTCTCTTAAAAAGTCCTAGAAATTGTCAACATAATTGAAGTGCTTGATCAGTCATTCTATTCATTTGTCTTCAACAAAGGCAATACATTTTTACTAGAAAGTTGATGAGCAGGTTCATGAGGGAGTTATGTATTCTCTGGTTTTTTAATATGTATATATTTATTTAAAATATATCTGTCCCGCGTTTCTCCCCAAAAGGATCCAAGGTGGCTTACATATTTAAAACAGTACTTAAAATTTAATACCAGTAAGTATACAAACATTAAAACAGAATTAAACAAGTATTATATTAAAATGGTAACTAAGATCAGTATTAATACACATTTAAAACAACAGAGTACAACAGTCCATTTAAAACCCCTCTCTATTAAAATTCATTGCTATTTTCAGATTTTGGGATGATAACTTCCATGAATTAAGCACATGTTCTCTGAAGTCCTTCCTGTTTTAATCATGACCTTATTGCTAATCAATTTCAGTGGATTATATTGAGGTCTAGTATTTTTACTTGAGATAATTATGTGCTCACCTTCATGGGCTCTGCAGTTTTGTAAATCTCCATTAAATTATGTTTGTTAAATTGATTGAAATGACATTTGACAGAAGCATTGGTGATGAATTAGTAATAACAGCAATTAGATAATTTTAAAAAATGTGCTAGTAGCATTTAACTTGAAAAGTTATTGAATCAATTATCAACCAGTTCCTGAGACAATTTTAAGTCTTCACTCAGTCAGCAAGGATGACAGCATTGTTCTGAACTAAAATAAATGTATTAGTTCTTCAGTTTTCATTGCAGAGGAAATAAACTGTTACTCTGTGGAGTGTTACTAATGTGAACTTCTGTCTTAACACTGATTGAATAGATGTATGATTGATTATAAAGATGAGTAATAGAGACCCAGGTGTAAAGCAGTTGCCATTTGTTTTAAATGGTGTAGGTTTGCATGTGTGAGAGAGAAAGAAAAGAGTGAGAAGCAATAACCTTGGGTGCTTATCTAGCCTGTTACAAGCTTTTAAAAAGAAAGAAAAGTCAATCTTTAAGAAAACAGGGGTATTGTATCATATAAGCTTATGATTATATTTGTCAAGTGTACAGACCATTTATTAGAAATGAAATAATGTAAAGATGTTGACTACCTCTGATCTGTCTTGGTAGAGTTTTGTCGGGTGTCTATGAAGTACTGGCTTTCCTAGAAGTACTTCCTGAACAGATACTTACTCATCTTCTATTGTTACGTGAAGTGTGAGCACTGACATTTAGAAGGTACCAGGTTGAGGGAGGCTAGCTTGAGAGGTGAGATTGTATGACATTCTTTCAAGAACAAGCACAGCACATGAATTGAGAAACTTTAGGGTTGACTAAAAAGGAAGTGAGGAACTAGTAATAAGTCTTTTTTAAAAACTGACATTGAGATATTTGTTTGGTTACAGAAATCTAAGAATCAACTTGTTAGTTCTATTTTTGAAGAGTGAAAATTGAAGCTGGGGTCCTGAACATTGTGTTGGTTCCCTGTGGGTCTATTTTGGTAGATGCACACCTGTTTCCCCCAGGTTTATGAGGTGTTGTTATGTTGCTTATGATGCCTAAATTTAAACAGTCTGGTTACTATTTTTTTAAAATCAGGAAACAAGTTTAAAAGTGCAGGAGAAATAATAATGAGGCAAATTATTTTTTTCTTGTTCCATATGTCTGGATTTTTGGAAAATTTGAAATATGAGGTTTGAGGTGTGACAGAAACGTTCTGCAGTGATACATTGTATGTCAAAGAAATGTATGGAAAACTGTGCAAAATAATCGCTTCTGGTGTTAGGACTGAACGTTTATTCAACACTTCCATAATCCAATATCCAAGCAACTTACATTGTTGATCTTGCTGCACATAAAACCTTACGTCCATCCTAGGCTGATATATTTGGCTTTGCTTCTCTATTTCTAACATCAGAGATTTAAAATATTAAATTGCTGTAGCACCTTTCCTAAAGCATTTTGAGGTCTACATATTAATCATTCCCAAATTCCAGAGTTTAGTAGCTGCTTCTAAATTTCTGGACTCAAAATAAATCAGGCAAATGAAACTTGCTTCTATGATCGCAGAAACTAATAGAGAAACAAGAAACTAATAGGGAATCCATCCTCTCATGAGGACTGGGACCTTTGTTTTCCTATTTGTTTCTGCAGTCATAGAAGCAAGTACTTTTAAAAGAATATGCACTTTTTAATAGCAATAGATGGGCAGGGTATAAATGTAATGAATAAAATAAATAATAGATTAATGTATTTCTACCTTAAGAACAAAGGATTTATGTTCTGGGTACTTTACTTATTTGACTGAAAGTGCCTATTTTGTTGAGAGTGGAGGCATATATTGTCCAGTCTTTTTCTAGAGCAAGGCAGTGGAATATGTGCACATCTTCCATCTCCTCAGATACACATTTTCTTCATGACACACACAATACAGAGCTAGGATATTTTTATAATCCAGCTGAAAAGCTGCTGAGACACTGGGCTTCCCCAAAATATCCTTTCTCCCAAATGTAGCTACCAGTAGTAGCTCAAGGTATAAATTCTGTGTTGAGTGCTTTTTAGAAGAATACCAGAGACTTACAGACCTTTATTAGAGTTGTAGGAGGTGATGTAACTTATCATAAACCTTTATCAGAATTATAAGAGGTGATGTAGCTATGTATAATGAGAAAAAGTCTTTCTTTTCAAAAGCTGGGATATGAAGATAAAGCAATGAAGTTAAACCAATTGCAATTTAAAAACAAAAAAGTGAAGTTGTTACCTTAAGTGAAGTCTTTGCCTTACAATCTGTTTCTTTGGTTCTGTTCATGCAAACATTACTCTATTATGGAAAAAGAATGACACACTCAGTTAACCTAGTTTGTCACTGCCTGAGATCTCTCTGCAAATGCTTGAGTGTATACACTGAGTTCAGAATAGTTAGAAAGGGTAGGATGAGAGTCATGGAAAGTGGAAGATTTTTTGCTTCTTATAGTAAGTATTCATTTATTAATTATACATATTTACCGTATTTTTCGCTCCATAAGACGCCCCTTTCCATAAGACGCACCAATTTTTTAGGAGAAGAAAACAGGAAAATATAATTTGTTTTCTTCGCTCCATAAGACGCACAGACTTTCCACCCCCCTGTTTTGTGGGGAAAAAGTGCGTCTTATGGTGCGAAAAATACGGTATATCCATTATACCATTTCAGAATTGCTCAGAGTGCTTAAATGTGAGTAGAATGTGTTAATATGAAAAAATACCTGAAATTCGCAGTTAAGAGATTAGAGACTTGAATCTCTTTTGTGTATTGTCTTTGAACTAACATATTTCTAATTATCAGTACCCTGCCCCCACCCCAATTGGCTAGATATTTTGAATAAGTGGCTTGAAAAAAAAGTGGTTGTAACCAATCTTTTGTACCTTCAGAGCTCTGTTGGCAGGGGGAGGTTTTTCTACATGGACCTATCGGCAAGGATATGATGTCAGCATTCCTGTTTATAGCCCATTGTCTACGGAGGTACAATTGCCAGATAAAGGACCAGGGTAAGATGAATATGAGTAGAATGGTGCAATATAACTGTTTTTATTAACACTGTCCACAATCTTATTGCCAATTCACACTTGCATAAGAGAAATTGCAGCTCACTAACAGGATGCTGGTGGCAATTTGCTAGCAAGGCTTACATTATTTCCTTTATGCAAGCATAAATAGGCAACGACATTCTGGCCAATGACATAGAAAGAGCTTCTTAGAAATTTCATCCACAGGACAAAAAGCATACCATGTTGGATATGTCCATGTCATTGCTCTTTCAGTGACCCAATGCTGGGAAGATGAAATATCACTGAATATTAGCTGTTAATAGATTCTTTTATAAATGCAATAGAAAATCCAAACTTTAATAGTTAGAACTTTATGTGCTCCATTACAGAGTGATTCTTGCATCGACTGTTTCTGAAGAACTGTCTCATAGGACTCTAGATTCAACTGCCTTCATCACCTACTAAGCAGGCCTGATAGAGAGCAAGCAGTAGGTTAGGTGTTACAGATGCAGACTGCCATCTGATGGCTTGGCTTGTTCTTGTTAGTTTGAGAAAGTCCACATAAGAATTACTGTTGCCTTTTTATGCATTCAGATGGCAAATGCAATAACGTTAGCTCACTTTTAATCAACAATTTAAAAATGCTGCTTCAATTTTTGAGGGCACGTGTGTAAACTAGCTTCTTACATATTTGAAAATCCCAATGGCCATGTGATAATTGCAGGCTAAAAGCAAGTGAATGTTGGGTTGCTTGCCTTCTACATGTGTAAATCAGGATATGAGCCATTGTATGTCTGTGTGTTTTAGATTCACTTCATTTCATGCCAGTGGTTCAACAGGGGCTACAGTGTTATTTAATGCGAATTTTATCTTGGAAGTTGCATTATGCATGAGACAAAAACCATTTAAAATTGTGTCCTGTTTGCAGTTGTGTGTTATAATTCTCATGGGCTCAATCATATGCTGTTCAGTTCTGACTGCTGGCATTTTTAAGGCTTACTGGAAGCTGTACTGTTACAGGTTTTAACTTACTTATTTGGAAACTCTTCAGGGAGCTCACTTTAATTGCTGTAACTAATCTATGAAATTATAAAGCCAGAGTACCAGTAATAAATATGTGAGCAAGGTTTTGATAATGAAACATTAATCTGATAATAGAATATTAAAACTAAGAATTAAATCCTGATTGTAGAAAGTACGGTACTCTTGATTTCTGATAACAGTCATGTAGTTTAATTTACAGAATACTACATGCCTAATTTCACACTGTTCTGAATCCTTGACTAAAACCTAACTCTATACCAACATTTAAAAAGTGTAGTCTTACTGTCTATTGAGAATACTTGATAGATTCCCATTCTTCTGCTCTTTAGTCCCCGCAGGTACTTCCTCCTTTCCTCTCAAATGGCTGTTCATCCAGAATACCGTTCTGAACTGGAGGCTCTTCAAGCTGAGAATGCAGAGTCCGTGCTTATCCTGGACAAATGTACCAACCTTTCAGAAGGAATACCTTTGATTCAGAAGCGTTGTCACAAGAATCAGATCTTTGATTATCCTCAGGTGCTTCAGGTAATGTATTACACATTGATCAATTTTAGTTTGGACAGAAAATGGTAGGAAAGTAGTTTTTCTCTTGTTTTGTTCTTGCAGGAAATACGGAAACATTTTATAAAGTTTTCCCCAGTTGGGTGAGGTATTGAGTATAATGCATAGGGAAGTGCAGAAAATACCAGCTTTTTACACAAAACACACATTTTTGTACAAAATACAAGGTTCCTGTGCAAAACCCAGCTTTTCTTTCTAATGCTGTTGCTGAGGAGGAAAATGCTTTTATTTTGTGTATACTGTAAGTGTGAATGCTCTTGCAGTAGTTAACATTTGATGAGGGGATGCTTCATTCATAAAACATCCCTTCATTAATTTTTAATATGCTTTATATGGTTTTAAATTGTTGTATTTGTTTTATGTTTAATGTGTTATCTGTTTAATTGCTTCTTAATATTGTACTTTATTGTAAAGTAAAACTAGGAAACTCAACATAGTTTCCTAGTTTTAAGGATTACTTATCATGGATTTTTTCACTTTACTGTTGAAATTTGTAGCAAACTGGGAATGCTCCTTCAACACAAATTTCCTGCTTGTTTTGACAGACTTTTTGCTGAATTTTCGTAATGTAGTGATAGTGAATGGGGAAATCAAATTGGATCCTACACATGCTAAAGTTGCCTACCCCTGACTTAGGTATTTTAGTATAAAAACAAAGAAGATCTGCTCTAATCTGGTATTCCATATTGTTAAACAATCAAAAGAGATCAGCCACCAGTGTTCTGAAGCAAAGGTTGCCATTAGGCAAATGTTTTAACTTGTTTTTGAAGAATATCAGAAATTCCTCAGTGACCAATAAAATACTGATTTTTCCTAAGTCCTGTCTTTTTTATTTCACCAAAGGCAGTCTGACTTATCCTAGGATAGTGGCTGAGGAGAATTTTGTCTGTGTGTAGTAAAAAAGAGAGAAGAAATAAGAGAAAAACCTTATAGCTGTTTTGTACAGATAGTTAAAATACTCACCAGAACTCTTCATATTCCTTTGGAATGTCTGTCTGGTTGATAGCAGTGATGATGTGAGAAGATGTATTTATAGTAGCTTTTGTCTAGACAGGAAAAATGACGGTTGGGTGGCTGAACATGTGTATCCACATTTGGGTATTTTTTCTCTTCTTAAATCTCTTTTTCTTCCCTTACCCCTATTAAAACAATTAGATTTTTCTCCCTGCTCATCTTGGTATTCTAATATAATTTGTGCTTCTTACATATGTTACACTTAGTGTCTTACAAATATATGCTACCCTGCTTCCCTGAAAATAAGACCTAACCTGAAAATAAGCCCTCGTATGATTTTTCAGGATGCTCATAATATAAGCCCTACCCCCAAAAGAAGCCCCAGTTTAGTGAAACCTCACCCTCCACCATTGTGCTGCCACCAGAAGATGATGACACAACTGTATTTAAATAAATGTAGATTGTTGTACATGAAAAAAACAAAACATCCACTGAAAATAAGCCCTAATGCATTTTTGGAGCAAAAATTAATATAAGACCTTGTCTTATTTTCAGGAAAACACAGTAGTGGTATATGATACTGTGATTTTGATGATGGTACACATAGTGGGCAGAGGTGCTATGCCTGTTGAGCCTTGTGTGATCTTTGGTAGTAGAAACTGGGCCACCAGATACCCATACTGCTAACTATTGACTTGATGCCCTTGTAGAATAATATAATTTTGAGGACACTGTTCAAAATTTTTTTGAATAAAAAATAAAATGCTTTATTGAAGGAAGGTTGGGTTCCTTCTATTTATGGAATGTTTTTGCATTGTATTTCACTGTTTATTGTTTGGAACTCAGTTTTGTGGCTGATGCTCTCTTTTCTTGAAAATAAGCCCTAACTTGAAAATAAGACCTAGTACGATTTTTCAGGATGCTCATAATATAAGCCCTACTCCAAAGAAATAAGCCACAGTTAAGTGAACCCCCGCCCTCCACCATGTGCAGCAAGCAGAAGATAACATGACTGTAAAATAAAACATCCCCTGAAAATATGCCCTAATGCATTTTTGGAATTACATTTCTATCCCGCCCATCTAGTCGTTTAGATCGCTGTACATAAAAAAACCCTGAAAATAAGCCCTAATGTGTTTTTTGGAGCAAAAATTAATATTAGACCCTGTCTTATTTTCAGGGAAACACGGTAGTTGGTACTGATTTTTTTTAAAACAAGTCAAGTAACTGGAGGCCATAATTGTACCCGTACTTTGAAACTGAGTGTGAGCATGTCAGAGGGAGTGGATTTCCCTCTGCCTTACTTGTACTCCGCACTGTTGTCCCTAACACCCTCTCACAGGAGTGAGTGTCTCCCATTCACTTATGTTGGACAAAATACAACCATAGTGTACACTATGCTGGAAGCCAGTTGTAATCTAACCACAGATGTTTAGCAGTTAAGGCACATGCATTGCGTTGTGTGATTTATTCCACATGTCAGAATTAGATTTGCTTTGGTATTGTCAGTGCAGGATGCTCTTGAGCTTTCTTTGTGCTTTGACCCTTTAAACAAACGAAGTGCTTAAGCCAAACTGAAAGCTGAAAATTGGAGTTCATTCTTTAGAAAATGGCTAGATTTTCTATAAAGAATGCCCATCTTCCCTAATCAGATCATTAGCAGTAATTATTGCTAGCTCTGTTTCCTTGCTTCTTTTACAAAATATAACATGTGGTCTTCTCCTACTGCTGGTCTTCCTTGTGTTGGGACCACATAATTATCAGCTGATTTATTTTTCTCTCTTTGGGTGACTTTTTACTGTTAATCCAATTGATCGCCTCAAAACCAAATTCAGTTCATTTTTCTGCTCCATTGTCTCAAACTTTCCCTGTACTTGTCATGGCCAAAGCGAAAATGGCCCCAAGTACAGTTCATATATATTACTTCATGAATCACTTCAGGTTTCTCATCAAAAGTACAGTCTTTGTCATGCTCACAGAATATGGATTTTTTTTTTCTGAAAAGAAAGAACACAAAAGAGATAAAGACCAAAAGGAAATAACATTCAAGTATGAGATTGGTTAGGATATTGGACTAGGTCTTAGGAAATCCAGATTCTGGTCTGTGCTAAAACACAGGCCAGTCACTCTCTCTTGATATTGATCCAACCTACAGGGTTATTGTGAGAATAAAGTTGTGAGATGTCATCCAGTGGAGAAGAGGAATGGCAGAAATATAATAATAATAAAAATTTTAACCCTTAAACTCAACACGCAAGACAAAACATTGTACAAGGTATATAATATTGTAGTGGTGGTGATGGCGACAGTAAATCGGAGGTATAACAAGTATAGTTTGTATTGAAGGTAAATTAATATATGAGTTAGCTGAGTTGTGAATAATGTAAATAAGTTTTTCTGTGTTGATAAAAAAAAGGAGGATAGTGTCTCATCATGTGTATTTTTGATACAATTTGGCTAAAGGAAGCCACATTCTGTGTGGTTCTGCGAGGAGCCCGCTTGGGACAAGCTGTACTGAGTGATGTACTTCAGGCTGGTTGCATCCCTGTTGTTGTAGCAGATTCTTACATTCTGCCTTTCTCTGAAGTTCTGGACTGGAAGAGGTATCCTTTTTGTAGTTTGATTGTGTGCTAAGTAGTTGCAGTTTACTTTCAAACCATTTACATCTAGCAATGAATTACAGTGGGGTCTCGACCTACGGAATTAATCCGTATGAGAACGGAGTCCGTAGGTCGAAAAGTATGGAGGTCGAAAATGCTTTCCCCATAGGAATGCATTGAAAACCATTTAATCTGTAACCCGCCCAAACACCCCCCCCACGCACATACAAAATTAAAATAAAATTTAAAAATAAAAACTTACCTTTCTGACGTCTTCCAGGGGTCCCCCGCCGCCGCCATCGCCACTGCTGGAGGACTCTGAGGGATTTGGTGCAGCTGCCGGAAGCCTCTAGGAGCTCTCCCCCCCCCCCCCCCCCCACCCTGCCCCTCCCCCCGGCCTCGTTTTTCTTTTTCTGCTCTTTCCTCCTCCCGCGACTCTCTTCCTCCGAAACTCCGGTGCGTGTTTGGGAGGCAAGCGCGGTCTCCGCCTCGGTGGCCGGGGGGGGGGGGGGGCGCCGCGGCCCCCCGGTAGGTCCTGTCTACTGCCTGGGAAAGCTTGGGAAGGCATCTGGCGGTCCCCTGCCGCCGACGCCACTGCTGGGAGCCTTCGGAGGAAGCCGTTTGAGACCTCCGAAAGCAAAAAGGCAGGGAGAAAGGGCGGGAAATTTGAATTTCCCCGTCGCTGCTGCTGCTCCTGGGAGCTGCGCCACGCTGGGCAATCCCAGCAATGCTCGGACTCCTGGGAGTCCGAGCATGGCTGGGATCTTCTGGCGCGGTTTGGCTCCCAGCAGCGGCGGGGACAGCAGGGGACCTCCGGATGCCTTCCTGGCAGGCACCCGGAGGTCCCCCCCCCGCCGATAGTGGTTCCAAAGCACTATCGGTGGTGGTGGGGCCTCTGAGATGCTTTCCATGGCACGACCTACAGCCTACAGACTGGAAGGGGGAGGCGGTGAAAGCCTTTCCCCGCCTCCTCCTTCTGGTCCGTAGGTCGATTCTTCGGCCGCAAGTCAAAGTAAAACTTTGCGGTTGGAGAATTCCGTAGGTCGAAAAGTACGTAAGTGAAGCCGACCGTAAGTCAAGACTCCACTGTAGTAATTTATTAGTTTAAAGTAAATTTAATAGATTTATAAACCCCATTGGTGTTCATGCAAGGTATTTGCAAAGTATGTTTATATGGTACATTTTGAAGAGGGGGATTTGGTGTTTTTCCTGACCAACCATTTCCTTTATGTTAATTTACTTGTAGTTTCTCTTCTCCTTTGGCTTATCTCTGTGACTTCCAGAAAAAAAGTATTTTAACTTTCAATTAATTAACCAGCTATTGAGTTAAAAAAAGGCTAAGCTGGATCCAGAGTTTGTGTTAGTGTGAGGACTGCCTGGGTGGTATACCTTTCAGAATGCTCTGATGAGATAGGAGGGGCAGTTTTGCTGATCCCTCCTCCCCTGGCATCCCTCAATAACATCTTGTATGCTGTTCTGGTGATTCCTTTAACTGTGGCTGTGGGAATCCTCAAAAAGCATCTGCACAAATCATCCCCATCTTGCAAGATTTCTGTAGGTAAAAGCACTCTTTATCATGAGAGGCAAAGTCCCCTTCCCTGAAATACCTTGTTGTCAGATGGGAGCGAGGAGAGCTTTTTAAATAAGAGTAAATTGGTTCTTGTAGGTTTTTTGGGCTGTTTGGCCATGTTCCGAAGATTTTTCTTCCTAATGTTTCACCAGTCTCTGTGGCTGGCATCTTCAGAGGACAGGACTTAGAACTCTGTCTGTATTCTGGTGTAATGTGTGGGATAGTTGAGTATTTGTATCTATGGGATCAACTTTTTGTCCTTTTCAGGAGATTGGGTGATTATAGTGATCAGGGTGTTTTTTGTTATGGGTGTATTGTGGTGATGGGGGGGGGGAATGATCTGTCATTTGATTGCTACAATGTTTTATTATGTTATCTATAATTCTTGTTTTCTTTTTCACATGTTGCAATTAGAGCTTCTGTGGTGATACCTGAAGAAAAGATGTCCGAGATGTACAACATTCTTCAAAGCATACCCCAGCGACAGATTGAAGAGATGCAGAGACAGGTAGGACAGATTCTGGGAGCAAAGCCCTAAATACACATGACTGGAGTGTTTAGAGTAGTGAGCGGCCCACTTTCATATTTTGTGGCTTAATTTGTCCTGAGGAGATGCTGAAAGTGCAAAGCAGGTACAACAGAAATACAGGATCAGCATTGCTTATCTTGTACGAGGAAGTTATGATCTGCATCTTCCAAATAACTGCATTCTCCAAACAACTGTACAATCAAGATGTCTTTGTTAATTGCTGGAAAACAGAATCATGTCAAGCAGGGAAGCAGTGGAGAAGCAAAGAAACATTATTTATTTGATAGGATTTGGTCACTGCATTCTTATTTAGCTCTGAAATCCAGAGGAATCATTTGGACTTCACAGGGTCATTACAAAATAGAATACACACGAAAACAAAAACAATCAGGAAAATGGCAAACATGTCTCATAACCAACTTTTTCTAAAATTTCATTAAATTATTAAATTAACAGTGTGCAGAACTTTGTGTGAATATGTATTATTTATTCATCTAAGGTATTTTGTCTCCCGCTTCAGCTAAAATGGATTCCTGAATACTCTAGATCAGTTAAAAATAGATTTTAAAAAAGGCAGTCCCTACCCTCAGTCTTAACAATCTGCATCATAGGACCCAGAAAGAGGAAGGGGAAGATGAAAAGGAAGAAGAAGTGAAGGGGAAAAAGAGGAGGACCTGCATAGCCTAGAAAACTTTTGATTTTCTCTATAGTATGTTTTCTGACTTCATGCAGGTACAGACTTTACTGGAAGTCTTGGCTTTGAGGATTTTTCTCTTACATCTTTGCCTTTAAAGTCATAAAGATCTTGAAAGAGTCTGTGTGCAGGGCCTGTTGAAATATTAGAATCTGTACTGGCATGAAATTTCTAAGGATGAAGCAGAGTAGGAATATAATGTCTGTGATTGCTCTTAGCCTAAATCATGATCAGCAGAAGCAGGATGAACAATGTCAAATAAGTGGGTGAATGTCATGTTACTTAGTTTTCAGAATTAAAGTAAGGAGACATGCAGGTCACAGATTTTAGTTTTGTTTTAGTAGAGAATATATACATATATCTTTTCATTTCGTGTAAATAAATCTGTAATTTGATAGTGTGCCAGTGTAATAATAATTGATTGACAGAGCATTTCTGTATGTGTCTAATGTAAACCCCATTCCATCAAAAAATACTTACTTCCTGAGGAGTATGAATAGGATGGTAACCTAAGACCTAAATAGGTCATCACATGACTAGTATTAATGTACACTCTAAATATATTCAGGAAGGAAGAAAATATTGATCAGTAGTGTCCCTTAAAAAGCAGAAGCAAGCAATACTTTTGGAGTGTTTGTTTTCAAAGTATTTAGTCCTCCTGATTAATGAAGCAGTGAATCATCAAACACACATTCTTGTATAATAAGTGCTTTAAAGAAAATTGGTTGTTTGCACTAACCCTCCAATTACACTGTTAAGTAAATACAGTATACTAATGAATTGGTGCATTAGATAAGTGAGTAACAGATACAAAATATGAACAAATATTGATATTAAAAATTTAGTCATGAAGAATGTGAGAACTTTTAGACATGAGGAAAACAACAGTGAGATACCAGTTTGAAAGTCTCTATTTTCTGAGCATATATTGGTTGAACTTCCAACATTTCTTCATAATTATGAAGAATGAAAATGGTTGCAAGATACATTTTTGGTGCAAAATATCTCTCTCAACCTAATCCATTCTGAGATTCTGGTAAATCATATACTTGTTGAATATAATTAGGACCACAGGGGTGATGTTGAGGTATATGAAATTATCAAGGTCAAATATCAGGGAATATTCATAACACAAAGACCAGATTATGGAGTGGGAATTTCCTTTCCAATCAATGGAAATTCTAGTATGCACTTGGATCACATGTATGGTAATTAGATTTTTTGCTTATTTTAGTGCATGTGATTCTGCTGAAGTTCTTCTTGTGCTAAGAGACATTACCAATATGACAAACAGCCAGAAGAGGTCTCTCTTCCCTTGCAGGACATGTCCACAAAAGCTTACGTTAAAATAATAGTTAGTCTTTAAGGTGTCTCTTTTTGTTTTGTTTTGTTTCTTTGGATTTTGCCTGATATGATTTTCTTAGGGTTTTCTTTCAACATTCTGCTTGGAAACAAAAGGGATCAATGATCACTGCTACCTTTTGATTAAACATTTAGAGTAGCAACTGGAACATGACTTTGCTGGAAGGAAGTTTATAAGCATGTTTGTTATCTATTCATTAAAGAGTCCTCCAGATTATAAAACTACCTCTCAGGAGACCTGGTAATTTTAGCCCTGTGGTTTGTGGATTCTACTGTTGTCTGAACTAGAATGTGATTCATGCCATAGCAGTACACAGAACTGCAACACATACATATTTGTCATCATGTTCATAGGTGCTGCTTCTTTTCCCGCTTCAGTTTAATGGGGTAGTGGACATCTGGCAAAAGATGTAGGAGTAAAATCAGAACAATATCTGTCAGTGTTCTGGAATCACAGAATTATAAAATTAGAAAGGAACCATTGACTCTTCTAATCAATCTTCCTCCTACAAAATCAAGCGGAGACTCTCCTAGACATGTAGTGCCATTAAAAAAATTAATGCAGTTCCACATTTTACGTACATTTTTGCTTTGTTCTTGACCTGCTTTTGCATCAGCCAGTCAACGCAATCCAAATTCACAAATATGCAGGCTGTAGTGGGTTTTGAATGGACATCTTGTGCCAGCATAGCTGTCAGATCAGCCAATGAAACTGGATCTGCCAGCACAACTCTTGTACTGGCTAGGATGAGCAGGTAGAAAAAGGAAGAAAAGGAGACGAACATGGGAGGAGCTATGTTATAGTAGATTCAACCCCCTTATCTTTGATTTATTGCCACTGTGGTGGCACGAAGATAGGCTATGGTCAGGGCATTCCTAAGTAGTTTTCAACAGCTCCTAGGCTAGGAAAGTTTTGGATTGAGCACAGCCTTAGTTAGCTTTGTGTCATGTTTGCCACCGCCTCTGCTGTACCGCTACTTCGGCTTGCACCCTATGTCAATATGACTTTTACCACAGTATTTTATTGCTGTGAGCACTAATGCTTAGACCGTTCACCAAGCCTTTCATTTATCAATGAACTGTATTTTATTGAGAACAGCATCTTTAATAGGTGGAACTCCTTCTAAATTATTCCCCTCCCTGAGATTCCATTGTATTAATGCTTGATCAAATCCAAAATGAATTTTAAATTCCTATAATTCTAAAAAAAAAAAAATCTAAAAATTATAGGCGGCTTTGGTGTTTTTTTCTGTTTTCTTACGCGTTCTTCCCTATTTCTAGAAGATAGTATTTTGATACATTGGAAACTTAACTAAGATGTATTGTTTTATTAGTTAAGGAAAAGGGTAGAGGATTAATCAATTTAATTTTTAAAATGTATTTGCACCTGTAATAATTTCAGACGTATTTGTGCAAGTGGGACTCCATCTACTTATTTTCATTAATTTGTGCCTTCTGAAAACCTGCTCAAAGTGCTTGGAGCCCTCTGGAGCCAAGTATGCTGTGGCAAGATATATGTGTTGTTAGACCTAATGCTATCATTATTTTTTTCTAGAAGATTTATGGATATGACTAAGTTCAGTGTTCATATGAAAAATATATGTAATTGGTTTGAGTGTTGTTTAAATTATTGGTAACAATGATGCAAAAAAGCAACCCATGCTCTGTTAAGAACTCCCAGTTTTACACTTTTTATCTGATCATATTCTGTTAGAGGAACGGAATTTAAAAATCTCATTAATGAGTACCTCTGTGTTTTATTACTGTAACAGCTACATCATGTTGAGTTTTCACTTATCATTTAAATTTCCAGTAACAAGGATCTGTAACATTTACTCTCCCTCTCTCTTTAACTGGGGGCTTATTCAGTGTTTTAATGTTAGACATAGGGAGGGCACGGAAACGCCACCTAGCAACAAGCTACTATTATTATTTTATTTGCTGAGTCATTTATTGTATAGGAGATGGGTTAGTCCAAATCATGAAGAAATAGCTTATGTTTTGGTGCCTCTTTTAAGTCTGTTTTAGCCTAAGCAGCATGGGAGAGTTAACCAGAGGTGGGAATCCATTCTAGATTCCTAATTGACACAACTGACATCAGATTTTGGGTGCCTTATGAAGCGGGTGCGTAGGATTTTTCTGCTTGACTATAGTATTGTTGTTCTTGTATTAAGAAACAAACCCCATAATATGATATTCATCAAATTTTGCCAGTGGTTTTCCTAAATTCTGTTGTTACTTCTGTATATCATGAATACACACATTTCATCTGTTGTCAGCTTTATTAGCAAGTTTTCACTTTGAAGTATCTCTGGAATCTTTCCAGCAATGCATGGTTGTGTAATATTTGTGTGAAATACATATTCAGAAAATGGTCTCCAGCACATATGCTAAAAAGCAATGTAGTCCATGGATCAACATTCTTAGTTCGGGTGAAGAAGTCCACCACCTGCTCAGCAGCTGTTCCCTTTTCCTTTCTGCCATGCAGCTATTCCACAATGAAGTGATGGGTTAAAGATGGCCCTTGACACAAAGGTTAAAAACATACTTGTTTTCTCTCTAACATGAAGGGACTGGAGTGAGAGTGAGAAAGGAGTGCTACGATTTGCAAATTTTTGCAAATTTTCTTTCATTCTTGTAGAGTTGACAAAGAGAAGTAGTTATGTTGTAATGTGCAAGTATCTCTGCTTAAATAAAACCATCATTATATGAAAGCTGCAGGGGTTGTTTCAGTAAAATATTCAACAGATTTCCAAGTTGAGTCTATTACATTAGTGTGGGAGTGACAGAGCCAAAGTGATAATGCACAAGTTTCTTTTTTTTCCATGATGGAAGATGGGATTGAATTGAGGAAAACTGTTGTTCTGGAGGTCTTTAACTTGTGATTATTTATTCACTCTTGATCTTTTATAATGCATGCTTG